TTCTATCTTTCATTAAAAAAATAACAAAAATAGTTTTTTATTATTATTTAATTATTATTTTCGTATTTTAATTAAATCATTTTTTAAAATATTATTTTTTTCACTTTTTTCTAAATTATTCATAAAAATATCCAAAAAATCATAAAATAAAAAATATTGAAAAAAATTTTGTTCTTTTTATAATATTTTTTATTTTAGGAATCAATAGGATTATTAGTTTTTATTTTAAGTTTATTTTAATTATTTTAAATTATTTAAATTTTATTTTTTCTTAACTAATTATTTAGTTTGGGCTTTAAAATGGGTTTTAGGGACATTATTGACAATTTGGTGTTAACCCTAATTTGTTCCCTATATATACATGTGTTGCCTTGTTGGAAAAAAGGGAGAGAATAAAAAAAACCTAAGAGGAGTGAGTGCCGTTTGCCGTTATTTAGTTTTCTTCTTCATCCATTACTATTGTTTCTTTTTCTTCATCGTTTACCGTTATTTCTTTTCCTTCATCTATTACTGTTGTTTCTTTTTCTTCATCTTTTACCGTTATTTCTTTTTCTTCATCTATTACCGTTATTTCTTTTTCTTTATCTATTACTGTTACGTTTATATATATATAATTTTTAAATTGTTAGAGTTTATATATATAAGATTTTTGATCGAATTATGTCGATACGATGTTTGCACATTTGTGTGCATGACGCGTGACATTTGTGTTAGTTCGATCTGGTTGCGATGATCGCATTTTTGTGTGAGCAATAATACTATTTTTTGCTTAATTTCTTTTTCTTTGCGATAAATTTTGTTTCGTCCGATTTAGATCTGGTTGCGATGAGCGCATTTCTGCGTTAGCAACATTGTTGGGTTATTTGGCACATTTAAAATTCATTATTGCTTTATTATTATTATTATTATTATTATTATTATTATTATTATTATTATTATTATCATTATTTATTATTATTATCATTATTATCATTATTATTACCATTATTATTATTATTGTTATCATTAATTTATTAAAATTTGTTATAATATAAAAATCTGTTTTTTTAAAATAAATAACATTAACATCTTTTCCAAATTAATATGAAAACCTATTATTTTTAAGAAAAACTTTTTTTTAGATAAATTTAAAATAATAACTAAAATCTTTTTTTTAAAATAATAACTAGAACCGTTATTTATTTTATTTTATTATTGTTCAATTCAAATTTCATTATCATATTGTATCTGCTCCTCTCATGTAACCTCGCGAACTTAACAATCGCTCTTTAAATTCTGCCTTTAAATTTCTGCTTGCATGGTTTAAATTATGACATTATCTCTCTGTTTGCATGATTCAATTATCTCACGCGTTTACTATTATTCCTGTCACATTGCACACATCCGAAGGTTAGGTCTAACTGTTTGGCCGCCGCGCCAATAGTCCGTAAAACTTCACACATTCAATTTCAAATCCTCAAAACTACAAACTACAAACCCTAATTTTCACAAATGCCTCGCCGCAGGCAAAATTACAATTTTACCCTTAGCATTAGGTCAAAGAGCCGCCGCGCTCATTTTAGGGTTTCCCGCCGTGGAATCCCTAATTTAACCCTAATTACAACTTAACATTTCAACGTAGAGATTTGGAGTTTCTACACTCCACGTAAGCGTGTCCTTAAGATGCGTTTATTCCCCTTGAGACCTTGACCACAGTCAAGAAGTTTCTAACCTCCCTATTGAGGGGAACTACGATTACTCTGATTCCGCTCCCGTAAGGATACGTAGGCACAAGATGCGATGTCTTGCCGAGTAAACTTAGAATTAACCCCCTTTATTATTTATTATTGCTTATTTATATTTTATTTAATTATTTTGCTTATTATTTTGTAATTGTTTCTTGGGTGTAAAGTTGTTTAATTATTTAATTATTATTATGGTTAGTAATTAGGGAGTGTAACAACATGTATGTAATATTAAAATAAATTTAGATCACTTTTAAATAAAGATAATTAAAATAAACACGTCACACACGTAAATCGATTTTAATCGCCGTCTCACTTCCTAAGGATATCCCTCAAGTTGCCTACGAATAATGGTTAAGTGGGGTGTATAAAGCAAGTCCCTCAAATAGAAAAATCATCAAAGTCCCTTATGGTTGCCTTTACGAATCGAGTCCCTTTCGAAAAATGATGATGGTCCCTTATATGTGCTTATTACATCCCACAATGGCCTTCAAAGTCAAATTGTCCCTCACATATCCCTTAACATCCAAAGTAAGGACTACCTACTCCATTATAGTAGGGATAGTCTTACTAAAGGAAAGAATGAAGACTAAGAAAGACCTTTAAACATTAGGGTAGGTTACTCCTAGGTGCTTGCTCACTTCAAAACTGTTTCGCACTTAAACAAATTTTCAACAAGTTTTCAAACAAGTTCTTAACACATCCTTACATGGATTATTTATTAACTATTCTGAAAATTTTCTATTCACACACTACAATTTCAAAACAATTCAAAAGTGAGCTTAAGTACCTAAGAGCCCATGGATAACCATGGATGAAAAGGATGCTAATACCTTCCCTTTTCATAACCTACCCCCCGGACCCAAAATATTCTCTAAGGTCTTTCCTGTTCTTTTATAACCTTTCCTTATGGATAAAATAAAAGTCGGTGGCGACTCTTGCTATCCGCAACATTGTTTAAAGTCAGTTCACCGGGTTACAGACACAACTAAGACTTCTTCTTTCTGATCTTGTTTCCGAGCCTCCTCTTCAATTCGGAGGCGAGTTATCAGACTCTCGATTGAAAATTCTTTTGTTTTGTGACGAAGCACATTTTTGAAATCTTTCCAACCAGGGGGCAGTTTGTCAATAATTACAGCAATTTGAAATTGTTCATTGAGGGGCATACCTTCTGTAATGATCTCATGAGCAATCTTTTGTATTTCGTGGCTTTGAGCTTCCACCGACTTCTCATCCACCATCTTGTAGTTCAAGTAGCGGCTGACAGCAAATTTCTTCGCACCTGCTTCTTCAGTATCATATTTTCTTTGCAGAGCCTCCCAAACCTGTTTAGCAGTCCTGTAGCTACTGTAGTAGTCGTACAGATCATCAGCAAGGCTGTTCAGAATGTGATTTTTGCACAGATAATCATTCTCGTGCCATAAGGCGATTTCTTTTCGGAGCTGTAGATCATCTGCTGCAGCCTTAGCTTTTGCAGCATCTGAGTCAGATATTTTGGAAGTCCCGTCTGAATCTGCAAGTGAGTTACCGTTAGGTAGTTCAGATGATGCAAAAGGGACAACCGGGATATCCTCAGTCAGAACGTGGGCAACCTTTTTCAGAGTTAAGAAAAATTTCATCTTAGCTTGCCAACGTTTGAAATTGGAACCCTCAAACCTGAAAGGTTTGTCAGAGACCGAAGCGGCCGCAGTAGTACCGCTAATTTCCTCAGTTGCCACGGCAGTTATGAAAACGTCTTAAAATTGTTGTTTTCGGATTTGAAAAAATAGCGTTTGGCACAAGGAAATTATCGGGACGAGTCGCGTACTAGGTCGCTTTCTTTAAGACGTTTCGCCGTACTGCCAAATTATGCAAAGCAGTCGAATTTACGACGACGCCTCCAGGATAAAACAGCCCGTTCAATCAACTTACGATTATCAGTTGCACACTGATAAATCGCTCTAGAAATACACCTTTCAAAGTATCTGATTAAAATAACCAGTCAAGAAAAGAGAGTTTTTGAGATGAAGAGAAATGAGAAAGAGAAGAGGGAAATCAAAATTCGTGTGAATTTGTGAAATCCGATGTACCCACTTCTGAATTTCTACCATGTATTTATAGGCAGCAAACTGCACCTGAGTGGGGAGAAATTCGTGGGGACTGGAGAAAATGGTGGGAGACTGAGAAATTCGTGGGGAGTGGAGAAAATGGTGGGAGACTGAGAAATTCGTGGAGGACTGACTGACCAATTATTTTCTTAATTAATTAATATTTATTATTAATTAATTTTCCACCGAATTATATTAATTAATTAATGATAATTAAATTATATAAATTCGGGTCCAAAAAATAATTCATCTAGACCGGACCGGACCGAGCCAGACGGACGGCGGCGCGCGCGCGCGTTTCTTGTTGGTCATGGGTGTGTCCTCACTCCTTTCACAAAATTGGGTGCCCTTTAGGGCCCAACCCAATAGACAAAGTTGGAATATATAAACACTACTAATATTTCCATTCCCTTCAATGTGGGACTAAAATGAAACTTTTCAAATTCACTTCTATATTAGTTCTCACTTGTGTTCATTTATTGCTCATTAATTGTCAACAAATATTTCCAATTCCCACTATAATTAATTAAAGTTCCACCATTAATTAATTAAAGTTCCAACAGTTATCAATTAAAATGTTAATTGCCCTGCTATTGAATGAGTTTGGTTTTATTGATGTTAAAGATACTGCAATGACCTATAATGAAGAAGGAGATAATGTTGTAGTATAAAATGTATTTTAGAAGTTCTACATTGATTTTTTTTATAAGATATAAAAGTGTTTATAAAGTTGAAACAAACGCAACAATTCGATTGTGGGTTAAAAAGATGGACCATAGACATGGACCAATAAGTAAAGGCTCAAAGAGTTTCATTTAAAATTTTGATTAATTATTTATAAAAATTAATAATAAAAATATTAATCAATATTTAATTAATTAATTAAAATAATATTAATAAATTAATTATCCACGTCATCTTGCCACATCATTAAAAAAAATTAAAATAGATGGACCAAAACCCAAAAAAATATAAAATAGGGGAGCCCAAGCCCATACTTGTAATGTATATAAATAAACATGACAGGTTGAATAAAGAAATTCCCGTTTCTCTTTTTCACCTTACGTTCAAACACAGAAACTCCCCCTTACCTCAAAAACCCTAATCGCTATTTTCGTGCTCTTAATCTGAATTTCGCAGGTCTTCGTAGCAATTTCATCATCACCCTCTTCCCCTTAATCCCTCACCAATGTCTTCTTCCAAAGATGCAGACCCAAGCTTGGGTTATCTCACCAGAAAGGATACAGAGGTGAAGCTACCTCGACCAACCAGGGTTAAGAACAAAACCCCCGCTCCCATCCAAATCACTGCCGAGCAAATTCTCCGCGAAGCTAGGGAGCGTCAAGAGGCCGAAATCCGTCCTCCCAAGCAGAAAATCACTGACCCCACCGAACTCGGCGAGTATCGTCTCCGTAAGCGAAAGGAGTTCGAAGATTTAATCCGGCGAGTTCGCTGGAATGTGAGTGTTTGGATAAAATACGCACAGTGGGAAGAGTCGCAGAAAGACTTCAAACGTGCACGTTCTGTTTGGGAGAGAGCTTTGGAAGTTGATTACAAGAATCACTCGTTATGGTTGAAATATGCAGAGGTTGAAATGAAGAATAAGTTTATTAATCATGCTAGGAATGTTTGGGATCGTGCTGTTACGCTTTTGCCTCGAGTGGATCAGTTGTGGTATAAGTATATTCATATGGAGGAGGTGCTTGGGAATGTTGCTGGGGCGAGGCAGGTATTTGAGAGGTGGATGAAATGGATGCCGGATCAGCAAGGATGGTTGTCTTATATCAAATTTGAATTAAGATATAATGAAATTGAACGAGCTAGAGGAATTTTCGAGCGATTTGTTTTGTGTCACCCTAGGGTTGGTGCTTGGATACGATATGCCAAGTTTGAGATGAAAAATGGTGAGGTTCCTAGGTCGAGGAATGTATATGAAAGAGCGGTGGAGAAGCTTGCTGATGACGAGGAAGCCGAGCAACTTTTTGTGGCGTTTGCTGAGTTTGAAGAAAGGTGCAAGGAGGCCGAGCGTGCGAGGTGTATATATAAGTTTGCACTTGATCATATTCCGAAGGCTAGGGCTGAAGATTTGTATCGAAAATTTGTGGCATTTGAAAAGCAGTATGGTGATAGGGAGGGAATTGAGGATGCTATTGTTGGGAAGAGGAGGTTTCAATATGAACATGAAGTGAGGAAAAATCCTTTGAATTATGATTCTTGGTTTGACTATATAAGATTGGAAGAGAGTGTGGGGAATAAGGGAAGAACTAGGGAGGTTTATGAGAGAGCTATAGCTAATGTTCCACCAGCTGAGGAGAAACGATACTGGCAGCGATATATTTATTTGTGGTATCTTTGATTTGAATCCTGTTTTCCTATCTAGTTGTTTATTTATTTAGTGATTTTGCATTTTCCGTGGTGCTTATTATTGGTATGTGCTACTTAGGATTAATTATGCACTCTATGAAGAGCTTGACGCCAGAGATATGGAGCGAACAAGAGATGTGTACAGGTAAGCCAGCTTTTATGAGCTGTCATGTTTACATTGTGATACTTAAATGATGATATCTTTGCTGGGAACCTCATTAGTATAATAATCATATAGTATCATATTTTGCTTGAAAGTCAATGCAAGCTTCTTATATCATCGAAAAGAATTATAATATTTTCCTCAATTTATGCCATATTGATTCTCTAATGCTTCCATGCACCGCGACTCCTTCTGTCTACTGATTTTTTGTGTAGAAAGTTAGGGTCTGTTAAGTAACACTGTCTACTAGTTTTCCACGCACCACGACGTATGTTGTCTACTAGTTTTTGTTCTAAACACTGAATATGTAATTGATATAGTCTTGTGTAGAATGTCTAGTTCAAAGCAATGATCTGTTAGAAAAACCACATGTTTTCTTTTGTTGGGTAGAAAAAGATTTATGAAAGAATGGGCTATAAGAAACAATGAATGTACAAAATAGAAAATAAATACCAACACATGATGAAAGAGGAGGTTAGGGGTAAGGGTTCTATATTTCCTCAAATGAAATAGTTATTGTGAGCTATGTTGGAGAAACCTAGGTCACAACCTTTGTTTTTGCTTTGTTCCTTTAATACCTCTTTTAGTTAAAATTTGATGGTGTAATTGAAGGATGGCCCGCGTTTGTTTGGCACTTGTAAAATGTTGCTATTTGTGTGAGCTTTTGGTCTATATTATAGAGATAGAGATATATTCCGACTTTCTGTATTACTTTTTTCCTCATGGTTCTTCGGTCACATATACTCACATTTGATTCAGATCATTTATTTTTGACTTTCTGATGTTTTACCTTTTCTGGTTCAGTTATATCACCATCTTGGTATGTAAGATATATGTTTTTGTGACGCTTCTTTCCTCTAGATTCTTCAACCACATTTGATTCTGCACGTTATCTCTGTCCTTTGACATACTGTTTTTTTACCTTTTCTGGTCCAGTTCTAACACCATCCTTTACTAAATTACCTAAAAAAACCTAATAAATTTATCATTGCAGTATTTATCCTCTTGAGTATTGACCCTACTTTCATTCTCTTTGAATTAGGGAGTGTCTCAACCAGATACCTCACCAAAAGTTCTCATTTGCTAAGGTATGGCTTCTAGCTGCCCAGTTTGAAATACGTCAGCTGAATGTCAAGGGGGCTCGTCAAATATTAGGAAATGCTATTGGAAAGGCTCCTAAAGATAAGGTAATGTACTAATTTCTATCTAGATGAAAGTATTATATAGTCTATTTTCATTGCTGCATGGTTAACTTCACATGCATCTTTTTTCTTTGATGACAGATATTTAAGAAATACATAGAGATAGAACTGCAGCTTGGCAATATAGATCGATGCAGAAAACTGTATGAAAAGTATCTAGAGCGGTCACCTGAAAATTGCTATGCATGGAGCAAGTATGCAGAATTGGAGAGATCTTTAGCTGAGACTGAGCGAGCTAGAGCAATATTTGAGCTTGCAATTGCCCAACCAGCATTGGATATGCCTGAGTTGTTGTGGAAGGTACTCATAGAATTTATTTATTTATTGTACAAGAGCTAAATCTAAAATATGTCACCCAAAATAGATGTCAATAACTATATCTATTGTACTCTACTAATTTCATATCCTTCACCGACTCCCCACTAATGATGCATGGTCTAACTAACTTGCCAAATCCACTCCCACCCCCTCCCAAAGCATCTGTGTCATATGAAAGCATCAAATATTGTTATGCTCCAGTGTGATAACCTCCACCTTTCGTTGCTATGTTGTATTTTATGTCTTTCTTTCTCTTTGATTGTCATCCTCTGATGCAAACCATGTCTAAGAAACCTAACTATAAAATTGTAAATACATGACAGAGATACATTGACTTTGAAACTGCTGAGTCTGAATTCGAGAAAGCTAGAGTGCTTTATGAAAGGCTTCTTGATCGAACAAAGCACTTGAAGGTATGGATAAGTTCTGCAGAGTTTGAAGCAACAGCTTTAGACTTATCAGAACAAGAACCGAAGGAGCAATGCATTAAGCGCGCCAGAAGTATGTCATCCCAGTATTTGCTCATATGCTATAAATCATAATTGTGTGTTAAGTTTGAACTGCAGCATAATTTTCTGATTCTCTTCATATTTTGTTTTGTGTCTGTATTAGGGGTGTTTGAGGAGGCTCTAAACTACTTCAGATCATCAGCTCCAGATTTAAAAGAAGAAAGGGCAATGCTATTGGAGAAATGGCGCAACTTGGAGGCTACATCTGGGGAACTAGGTGATGTTAGCTTAGTCCAGTCTAAGCTACCCAAGAAGCTCAAGAAGAGAAGACAAATTTCTACCGAAGATGGCTCTTCTAGGTACGAAACTATCTCATTGTTTATCTTTGAATGGTTTACAAGGGCTAGTTTATATGGAATCATCTGCAATGTAGTCACTGCTATTTTCTGGTATTGTTAGCATTAGGCTTGTTGACTATATGATGATGATCTTGCTGTTAAATATGTATACGAACAAATCTCTGTTTATCTTTTTTCCCACTTCATTCTTCTCAATTTGATATGCAGAATTGAAGAATTTATCGATTATCTGTTCCCTGAGGAAACTCAGACAACCAATCTCAAGATCTTGGAAGCTGCTTACAATTGGAAGAGGCAGAAGTTGTCTTCAGCTGATGATCGAGAGTATGTTGCAGGGTGATATGATTCCATTATTGTAAGAGGCAGAAGTTGTCTTGAGCGAATACTGAATGGAGCGGAATAGAACATGATGAAATCCATTCTATCCTATTCCATCCAATCTTTCAATTTCATTTCGCTCAACTTGGGGTGTATGCAACAGAATGAACTAAGTAGGCGTGTTCTATTATGTCAAATTAACAAAAACAAAAATAAACAATAGAATGGAATATCCGATCCATTCCGCTCCCTTAAACTCAATTCCATTAGATTCTATTCTGCCCCACTCCGTTCTAGTCTATCAATCCAAAGATAGCTAAAGTCAATCTTGAACTATTTGAGTTTGCAACAGAAATGTAGTTTCCTATTTTGAGAAAAGTGGGCAACAGAAATGTAGTCCTATTTTGAGAAAACTGTGCAACAGAGAACTGCATTTGCATTTGAGGAACGTTGATTCCTAAAATTGTGAATTGAAAGTCATGCATGTGTAAGGTCTGTACCAATGACAATTGTTGAGTGTACATATAATTACAATTTTTTACTGTGTTACATGCTTAGATTTCAAACATGTAAAAAAGTTTAAACTACTTTGTTTGCTTTTACACATTTTCACGCATTGGTATGCCGTATTGTGCTAAAAATAATGAGCGACTAAGCTCAGGGAGAAAACATTTGAACACAAGAATATGTTCATGTCACTCTCATGGTTTGTGAGCTACCCCTATTTGTACCCTCTCTAATTAAAGTCGAAGTAAGTAAATGTCTGCCATGGTCAATCTTGTAGGCATACATCTAAATTGATGATTGATAATTTGAATTTTTTTAGTCTTTGTTCACTTATGTTTTTTTCCACAACTTTATGACATAATTTATAAGTTTAATTCTCGTATAGTTATTATAAATCATATTTAAAGGGATTCTTCTCCACTCGGATGATATATATATATAGAGAGAGCGGCATGGATCTACCTTTATATAATTGGGGGCAACTGCTCCTACTAGTTTATTTATGGCATTATAAATTATTTAAAAGATTTACTTTTTATCCAATAAAATAGAAATAATAAAATAGAAATAATGTCCCCATAAAATAGTATCTGTGTATTTGAAAAACTAAATATACATATTGATTGATTTTTTTGTTACATATTAAAAACAAAAAAAAAAGTATACAATAATTTTAAAATATAATTACTTATAAATATCTTTTTGCATATATTTAAGCCTCTTTGATTTCTTTTTTTATAGATATAGAATAATAAATTATGATAATTCAAATTTTTTACACAATGATTTTATTACTTTTATATTAATATATATATTTTTATATATAATTATTTATGATAGTATATATAGTTTGCCCCCACTAATTTAAATTTCTAGATCCGTCCCTATCCGGTACAAAATTGGAAGACATGACAATGACCTGAGTGAACTTGGTGAAGACCTTGGAAAAGCAACCAAGGATAAACCCTAATCCTTATATCTCATGCTCAAACTAATGAGTAACCATGCTCGAGAACCGATGATAATTGAATTGCATGATGAATGGATGGTATGAATGCTAGGTAAAAATGAGGGTATTACGAGTGCTAATGCAGAGCACCAAACTTTAAAAAATAATGCTTTGATCATTACTTTTAACTATCAAACACATTTTTCATAATGTGTAAATTATCAAACATGCATAAACTATGTATTTCGATACTGAATAATCAATTTCTACACACTTATATAAAAATTCAAAAAAATTTATAAAAATAAAAACTTACAAATTATAATTTTACTTCAGTGTTAAATAAACTTTTAGATATATTTGATGTTGATAAAAGAAATTTTGAACTTAATTGGTTGATTTTAAGAGACAATGAATTGAAAGAGTTTAAAAAAAGTTTAATATTATTTTTTTAAAATTGAAAAAAGAAGAAAGAGTTATGATATATTTTAAGACAAATAACATAAGAAGATATATCTATGTAAAATACCTAAAAAAAAGATTTTTAAAATTTTTCATATTAAATTAAAATTCTATTAATTCAAAATGCATCCGATTGTCCTGAAATTTAAAGAATATTGGCTTAATTGCAACTCTGGTCTCTCTATTTTGTATTTTTTTGGGTTTTGGTCCCTCCATTTTAAAAACTACGATTTTAGTCTCTTTTTTAAGTTTTGAGTTTGATTTTAGTCCCCTCTCCAATTTTAATTTTTTTTTAATAATGTGGCACTCACAACCTCTCAGACTCACAACTCCTTACACACGGTCTCTTGCCAATTGTGCCATTTTATTCATTCAAAATAAAGTGGCACTAGAAACTATGTAAAGGTAGGACAAATTTGGGGTGCAACAGATGCCCCTATTTAAATAGCTTCACCGGATGATTTGAGCAGCGGAGACTCGAGAAATCGCGGTGAAAGGGATTTAAATACAGATAACCGGAAATTTGGCCCCTAGATGCAGTGATATGCAATGATATGGACAAAATAACACGAACTATAATGCTGACAATGCCATGAATCTAATATGATGCATATGATGGAATGATGAATGCAAGGATGCAGACGACACGACGTCATAGGGGACAGCGCAGCGAAGAATTGCACTGGGGAAGAAGACACGCGGTGGTGACAAGGTAACATAGGATCCACACGGAGGCAGGACCAGGTAAACGACAGACACTAGAGTTTTCGGGACATTCCTTGAAGAGATCGAGCGGGATCTTCAGGACTCACCAGAAAACATATAGGGAGAGACAAACATCAGAACATTTCGGAAGAACATCGAAAAGGAGACACGTCGTATCTGGAAGAACGTCAGCTAGACATGACACAAAATAGTCGATGGGTGCCAAGTAAATTGAACTTTGTCCACAAGGTAAGACGCGAATAAAACACGACCTCGGGGAGAAAAATGCAAATGGGGATAAAACACCCATGCTGCCAAGTAACTAAATTCGCCCACAAGGTAAGACGCGGATAAAACACGACCTCGGGGAGAAAAATGCAAATGGGGATAAAGCACCCATGATGCCAAGTAAATAAATTCGTCCACAAGGTAAGACGCAGGTAAAACACGACCTCGGGGAGAAAAAGCAAATGGGGATAAAACACCCATGATGCCAGGTAAATTGGACTTCGTCCACGAGGTAATACGCGGGCAAAACACGACCTCGGGAGAAGAAGCAAATGGGGATAAAACACCCATGATGTCAGGTAAATTGGACTTCGTCCACGAGGTAATACGCGGGTAAAACACGACCTCGGGAGAAGAAGCAAATGAGGATAAAACACCCATGGTGCCAGGTAAATTGGACTTCGTCCACGAGGTAATACGCGGGTAAAACACGACCTCGGGAGAAAAAGCAAATGGGGATAAAACACCCATGATATGCACATGTGTATAAATCATGCTATGATAGATGATCACATGCAAATGCAGATGTCGATGACAAGGCTCGACTCTGTTGGTGAGATGACAAAACTGGAAGACTGATTCCTCAACCCATACATCATTGTCATTCTATTAAACTGTATCAAGTTGATAGTCCTTGTAGGAAGGATGAAGAGCTGCTTGGGGATTTTTCAAGTACACTGCTCTAGATTAGACAAACTGATAATTTCTTCAGCTTATCTGATTCGTGAATAGGATTGTTTTAATGTATCCTCGGAAGGCTTGCCCCAGTATGAGTCTTGAAAATTTTCTGGATATACCAAATCTGAGAAGATCTTGCCTTGAACCAATCTTGAACTGATTCTTAGACAGGATGTAAGCGGAACTTGCCGCTGATAGGATCACTTGACCAAGTTTCTCATTATTTGAAAATTCCTTAGAGGAAAGCCATTTTGCAAACAAAAATATTCATACAAACATGGTAATGCAAAGTTCATGCGACCTTTGAAATCAAAATTATTTTTGAAAAATGAAAAATAAGTCGTTGGTCAGAACACGGTGGTTCAAGACGCTCAAAATTTAAAACAAAAGTGTATTGCCAAAATAAATGATTCACAAAGATCTTTTGGAGTCAGGTTACGCAACCTTGTTGTAGTATACTTTCAAAATAACCTTGCTTCAATTAGGTCTTTTGAGGGTTGTAACATGGTCTGGTTCACGGTTTATGAAACAAAGGATAAAGGCTCAAAATTTATTTATACCCACCCCATCTATATGATGATCTCCAATTCTACGCTCAGTTAACTCCTATTATGCATTCAGGTTCCTATATGTTAGGAATTGCACTGATGGTAGCAATGATGGTTCAGAAGTCAATGGACCTATGAAAAGCAACCACTACTTCCTTATAATATTTGGTCATTTTGACATTGAGGATTTTCAGGGTAAAGATTTAAAACTCCTCTTTGTATTATCCCTAAATTTTGCCTGAACTGTTTTACAATCAGCGGGATGCCCCAGTTTTGCCTAAGTCTCCTTCATAGGTTTTGACTTAGCGGGCTTTTTCTTTTGATTTTTTTTTGAAACATGACTGCCTGGTTTAATGATTACGGTGAACCATCATCGGTGTTTTTGACTTAAAAATAATCTTCGACACTTGTTTGTTGTGTGTGAAGGAAAATTGTAAGTGCGACCTTTATATGAAAGGTATATTGCATGAACACATAACCGAGTTAACTGAGAACTACCCATCCCCAGGTTAAAATTGAATTTTTTTTTGTAAAGAAAGGAACTCCAACTTCTAGGCTCGAAGGGGTTGACAAGGGATTAACTTCCTTATTTCTCCAGTGTTTGGGAATTGAAACAATGCCTTACATCGTCAACAAGGTTTGATTGAAAGCATACTGACATCAATTATGGGTATAACGTTATCATCATCCTCCCTCCAATCTTAGCATATCAAAAATTGGGACAAAAAATAAATATTTGAAAATAAAGCATAAAGATGCAAATAGTAGGCAAAATGAATTGAATCAAAAGTCGCAATGCTCATTTCATTAATGTAAAAGTACAAACATAATTTGAAAGCAAACAACTAATACGAAATAAGGAAAATGCAAACAACAAGGAATAAAAGGCCTAGTGATAAAACTTCATTTGTGATGCACTGGCAAAGGATCCTTCTGAACATTTGGATGACTGTCTGTAAAATCAAGTATTCCGGTTCTAACCAATTCACGCACTCTAGCCTTCAGCGTAAAACAATGTTCCAAGTCGTGGCCTGGGGCACCCTCATGAAAAGCACAATGGAGATCGGTCCTGAACCCAACCGGATGGGGATTAGGAGGAGGTGGCGAAGCCTTTGTGGTGATCAGTCCTCGTAGAACCAAGTCAAGATATAGCTCGGTGTAAGTCATGGGAATAGGATCAAAGTGGCTTCTGTTCCATTTCTGGTTTTGTCTGATAACTGGGCGTTGAGGAGTCTGAGTTGGCTGTCCTCTAGCAATCAGTATTTGAAGCATTTCAGTGAGCTTAGTCAGCCTGACTTCAACTCATCGATTTCCATTCGGATCTCTGCATTGTATGTCTCTTACTCTGACATCTTACGTCTATAGTTAGCCATGGTCTAATATCTGTGTCGAGGAATCAGCTTGACGACTCAAAGAAACACTGGAAGACGAGAGGACCGAGAATGAGAAACCGGGGGAAAAATGCAATGCAAAAATGTGATTTTAATGCCATGTAATGGTTTCAAAAATTTCAACGGTCGATTGCAAACATTTCTTTTTTAGGAAAGTTGGAAACGGTTTTAAACTTTGAAATGTAGGATTTTTGAATTCGCAAAGGACGGTTGAATTCCTTGAAACTAGGAATGATGTTTTATGAATGTCATGCACAAATACACACAAACAACAAAGTCCTAGGTTAGAGGAACAATGAATGGAGTTAAGAATTACATATACTTTTTTGTGATGAAATTTAACAAAGAATTACATATACTTTTTTGTCCTTACTAAATTAGAAAAATAGAATTTTTCTTCCTTCACAACTTATTATAATTTTTTTACAACAAAAGAATAATTTATATGATTAAAAAACTAAATGATGAATACAATTAAGTATGCCAAAATAAAGAGTTGATATTATATATGGTTATCCTAAAATCTATATAATTAGGTATGTCTAAACAAAAATCAATACAATTTATTCGAATTTATAGTATTTAAGGCTCTCTTGTAATAGATATAAGAAAATGGTTTTTGTTTATTATTTTAAAATTATTTTTATGAAATTACTTGAAAATAATAGAAGTTGTTGAACTATGAAAATTTAGTTGAAACTCGACCCTGAAGCAAGAAACAAACAATTTATTATGAGGCATTTTGTTCGTTGTCTAGAGGCAATCAAACATCATTGAGAAATAGAGCGGAAATTGATAAGGGTTGAGATGGTCGAAAATCTTCTTTCCGCATCACCAATGAGATCTCCGAGAGTAGATATAGGCATAACCTAGTTAGTTGAGGAAAGTAATTTCTTTATTAATGAAGATCGAGCGACACCTCACACGTGTTCCGCTCCCTTTAAATCTCAAAGAAACAAGCTCGATCCAGAAAAAACCTTGTCATCTTCACCATAAAAGCATTCACCCTCAAATCTCCATCAACACCATCGATGTCATAAAAGGCGAAATAGAGGCTCAACACTGTCATCATCTTCAGAAGGTCTAGGATCGAATGAGATACCTTGAGGAAGAGTGTTTTAACTCCTCTAATCAATATCTATAACGTATATTGGAATCTCTAAAAACCTTTAGGGATGACATCCTATGACAGAATGATGGACCCTGAGAACCGTGTTGAAATCGTGGAGACCGTCCTTGGAGGAAGGGGTAAAAGGTTGGATAAATGTAAGTTGTTCATCCTTATGTAAAATAATGGGGCGATGATGAGGTTTAAGAGTGTTATCCAAAATCTATCAACTTTTAGGGAGAGCTATGTGGACGTTTCATGACACATTTCACCTTATATAGAAGGCAATTAGAATTAGTATATAATCTAAAGGAATTAGGCCGAAGAGGGATAAACCACTAAGATCCTGTATTGAATGGTTTAATAAGGAAGCCATTTTGGTAAATGACACATATAACAAAATGAAAAAGTATATGTTGATTCAGGGACATCATAAGGGGTCGTAGTTCGCTAAAAGTGTGGCGATTTAAGAGCCTATGAAGTACATCCAATGGTTTATATATAACAAAAAGGGTTAACGTATGTAAATGAAAGGAAGCGCGACTCAATGGGGAGAGTAAATGGTATTCTTCTTTTAACTACAAGAACTATATGCCACTAAATACCTCTATATATCATTTTCTTCAACAACACACCAAAGTCAGTGTTAGGGAGCAAGTTGTGGATTTCCCAAGGAAGGTATGAGAGCGAGCGAACCTAGACATGATAAAATATTTATGTTTCTACATAAGAAACATCCATCATACATAAGATCACCAACTGAAAGGCAAAATAGAAGATTTCATCTAGAAGGGAAAGTCGTAAAGACTTGCGTCACAAGATAAATCCAGAACTAAAGAGATAAAGTTTAGAGATAAGTCATCCTTGCAAAAATAAGAGTTGAAAGCGAGCGAGTCACTAAAGAAGAGAAACTCTCGGGAGATGATGAAGAAAAATAGTTGCATGTGGCATACCCCATTCATGGGGGCATGTTTTATCAATGGAAGTATTTCCCCCATTTTCATGCACTTGAATGGGGAAAATTTCAATCTTAAGAGGATCTCCCTATCAATTCCCATAGGGGAGAATGTCGACAAGAATGGGTCTTGCAAAGGGTTATTGATGTAGTAACGAAGGGGTTTCTCAAATATGAGTAGGCTTCCTCGAGTCCAATAAAGAGGAATGCGAATGAAAATGATACACCCGTCATTATTATTCTTTGTTGAATAGCTAATCAGTGATACTATAAACCACCGTGTCTCACTTTTGGTGATAGCGAAAATGGTGAATTATGATGTTTGTCAGGTCTTCATCGGCCATGGGGATCCTATTACATCATGTATTCAAAATGTTTTGATGCTTTGCAACTAGCACACACGACTTGACAACTTACAACAATTGCAACCTTAAAGGGTTCAATAGGTCGGCCACTAATCCCAAGGGTTATGTCGAGTTATTAGTAAGATAAAAAAAAATGAAGTAGTCCATAAATACATTCAGAACCATGTTCCTGGTAGTTAATTGCAAATTACTTTACAATTCCATCATAGGTCTTCCCACACTAGCCTCTCAAGGGGCACTCTCCTTGGTGATATACTTGAATATGAAATATCACACAGGAAAGGACATAACGGTCATTTTCGAGGTTAATTTAAAAGCAAGCAAACCATGTTTCCCTATGTTACTGGAGCTTCACAAAAGTAAAGCCACACAAGACTATGATGAAATCCCTTGAAGATATAGCAAGATGTCAAGAGCTTAGACATAAATTTTATTGATGTAATCCTTAGAGACAATAATTTTATTAGAACTTGATATTTGTATTGAATTATTTATTAACAATAATAATAAGCCACATGCTTATTATGTTTGATTTTCCAAAGTAAGAAATCCCCTAGAATAGTTAGTTCATTGATGAAATATTAAGTATAATTTAATCGTGAGACCACATTAAACATAAGGACATTATTCTTAAAGTATACATAATCATGCTTTATTATGATGTGGGATAACATTAAAGTATTGAAACTATCATGTGGATATACTAATGATCACATCTCACATATCATGGATAAAAAGTTAGAAGTATGAGGGGGTATGTGTCATAAGAAGGGACTAGGAAATAACCTGAAAGTGTTATGAAGATAGGCTCGGGATAAGTAAGGCATTAATAATCGCCTGCCAAACTCTATATCCTTCCCCCACAACCTAAACTTCGTAGACTTGAATCCTAGAAAGGAATACACGGAGGATAAACCAATAGCCACAAAATATTTCAAAGAAGTCGAGATCATTCTTAATAGTTTCCAGACCATGAAGTTAGGAACTTCCTTGTCAGAGTATGAAGAAAAAGAGCCTATCGCTTTGCTCCAGAAGAACATAGATCTATTCGCATGGAGCCCCTAAAACATGTCAGGGATATGCGTTAATATCGTATTTCATCATCTCATCCTTGACATCTCTGCCAAACCAATCATACATAAGAAGAAAAATATGGGTGAAGAAAAAATGATAACTATCAATGAAGAAATATGAAAGTTAAAAGATGCGAGTTTTATGAGTAAAATCAATTATCTCATTTGGTTGCCTAACATCACGATGGCCAAGAATCAACGAAAAAAGTAAAAAATATATGTAGATTTCATCGAAAAAAGATTATTACCTGAATATTGTCGCACCCAAACCCTAACAAAGCTAGGTTTCTCTTTTTATTTTTTTATCATCTCTAATACTTCCTGTTATCCTAATAAATATTATAAAAAAATTAAAAAAACTAAAAAAGCCAATATAATTAAAAAATTTATAAATATACCTTGATGAAATATTGTAAAACATGAAATATACCTATTCATATAAAAAACAAACATTAAATAAGAGTTACTTCATAAAATAAATAAATGATGCAACACTTGTAGAGGGGGCAGTTGCCCCCACACGTGTAGCTGTGAATCATTCCTTTTGAAGATGAGTTATCTGAAGTAGAGGGCTGAAAAAGCAAGAGGCCAAGAAGGAATACCGGTAGCAACAACTACCTTCTACTTATCAAAACCATGGCGGCAACAGCCTTAAACCTATCAAAACCATGTTTTTTTACTCCCAAAATCCCGTTTCTGTGTAATTCAAGAGTACTACCACACAGTAGCTGTCGATTTGGAACCTTAAAGCCGAAAGCGGGTCTGTCCCATTTCCTCAACATTGTTGAAACCACTTCTTCATATATTCAACTTCCACTTCAACTCGAGCTTCATGAACCTTCCAATGCTCTCTCTTTGCCTACGTGGGCTGTTCATGTCTCCAGCGTCGTTGAATGGTAACCATTACCAACCACTTTACCTTTATCTTATTTACCCTTTCTATTCTATCTACAATTTTAATCTTCATTACTGTTTTTGTTCGTATTGAAAAAAGGATTATAGCTATGGCTTTGGTGTGGCAATACGGTGAAAAATCTGGATATGAAGCCTGGAAGGGGCTTTCTTGGGGTATGGTACCTCTACTTGGTGGAGCATTCTGTGCTTGCACGTGGCATTTCTTTTATAACTCCGACTCCCTTGAGGTAACCATCTAGCCATATATGTATTTTGCAATGCATCTTTGTCAAAACTCGAAATAACTTCTAGACCTTATGGGACAAATTCGTCAACCGTTTAAGCTAAGCCTTTGGAGCTTAAAGGAAAATTTGTATGCTTCTCCTCTTGTTATAACACAAAATATGATTAGGGAAATAAGTCTGAGCTGTGAAATTCCTACGTAGATGTTTTACAGATGAAATGAATCAACTGTTCTTTCATGAATTGTAGGTATTGGTAGCACTTCAAGCGGCACTAACTGTAATAGGTAATTTCACAATGTGCATAGCTGCATATCGAATATACAAATCATCCCGTGAAAGCCCTGAGAATTTGTGAAGTTCTTGCATAAGGGCATTTCCAATATGAAGAGTCTGCTGATTTATAAAATTGTTGTAAGTGACAAAGATTGAATCTATAAGATACACTTTTGTTTCTTGATGTTGATCTTGATCTCATTTGTGTAACCTTTGTATGTAGCTTTCTTTTCACATGATCCTGTCAATAGAATACTTTGGCTCTTGAAGATCTACTTTGGCATATTAGGAACATTTGGCTTACCTGTTTTAGTCAAAATTAGTCAAAATTAGGCTTTTGAGATTTCATATTTCTCATATTTTCAGAGAAAGTAATCAGTGTGCAGATTTGTTATCTCAATTCTTCTTTACCTTTGTGTTGGGATAAGCCGTCTGGAGCCTTATTCCTTCAGAAACAAATTAGGGCTTCCTAATTATAATCTTGGTCTAATCCCCTATGTTATATCTTTGTTCTTGTTTTGAAAAAGAAAAAAAAAAAAAAACTTTGTGCTGATAAGAATGCTTTAACCTTTTTGTATTTTATATTTTGTATAATGCTATTTCTATTCTTATTTATTACTTTACTCTATACTTCTTTTTCATATTTTGTCAATGGAAAGTGTAAGACACAAGTATGAAATTTGTCGTGCGCTAGAATTAATGTTTAAACTATCATATTATAAATTGTTTAGGTTAACAAAAATTGATGTATTTATCTATATATTGAATTAAATATATCAATTGTATTGATAAAGTGTCTCCTATAACAAGGGAGATAAAAGAGTTATCATAGAAAGTTAAATATATGTCACCGTCACCCTTGTAATGTAAGCCAATCACATTTTTTCTCTATAAAAATATTTATTTATTCTTCTCTTATAATATGAAGATTCTCTTTAATCTCTCATTCTAAATTCTCATTTTTAATCTGACGTGGCAAATGAGTAAACAATAAGGTGGTTTTTTTATTTTCATTTTTTTAAACTTACATTTTTCTCTTATTTATCTACCCCATAAAAACTAGGGTTACTTTGGAAATCCCAAATTCGACAAGTTTTTGGTAGAGAAAAATAAGGTGGTTGATGGTTAAATTGACATTATTAGAGTTTGAAGTCAAGGTGGAGATTTTTAAAGTTTGCCTTAAAACCTTAAATGATGAAGCGAAAAAAAAACATGTTTTGAGATTGCATAAATCAGAAATGAGCGTGAAAGTCAAAGAAGGATTTTACCATGAATAGGAGAAGGATTTTACCATGGTAACGAAGAGAGTGGCAGTAAGTTTCCTATTTTCCACCATAGGCTAGTAAGCGAAGTAAAATTAAAATAGAGTGCTACATTTCACCACAATTGTAAGTACCAATCATATAAAAGGTGGAATGCTCATGAGTTCGATAAGCAACTCCAAAATTTTGAGTGATTGTTCGAATCGTAGTTAAAGGGGAAATTTTTGTTATCGTCTCCACAGGGATTGCAGATATTTTGATGCTTGCCTTTCAACAGTTTACAAGTCTTAGAAGAAGATGAATTAACATCCACGTCGAAGAATCAAACTCGGATGCGAATCCAGCTTCTATTTGCAAAACATCACCTTTTGGTGAAAAAAAATCTAAGAAATGAAGTTCTTGTGTGTAAAAATGGGTTATGATCCCAAAAATAGTGAAAAGTACTTATATAGTACTTTTAGAATATGCTACATTTGCACTGCAAACAGTTTCTTCGTCCATCACTTCCTTTTTGGCACCTTATGTGCATCTGAATAGTTAAACTGCCCTTGAGAAATATCTAAAGTTCGTTGTGCGAGCAATTCTTCGCACTATGAACTACCTCACTTACAAGTTCGTACAACAAACTTAGGGTCCTTTAGCTACTGACTTGGGTATGGGATGATTCGTTGGATCTTCACTTCCACTTCGCCACAACGAAAATTCGTTGCTTGTTCGCCCAACGAACTTGTTGCCCTTTTCTTACTGCCATCATTCTGAGATGGTTCGCTAGGGCTTTTTCATGAGTCCGCACAACGAACATTCACTAGCACTCCTCGCTGGTTGTTCGCACAACGAACATGTTGAAACCCTTCTCTTCCTTTGGCTTCCTTGTTAAAATGTTTGTGTCTTATACTTTGATGATTTTATGTCTAATTTCTGCACAATAACACACAAATCAAAGCAACCAAAGGTATTTTCACAATATTGAAGAATACCATGATATCATGGAGTAAATCCAATAAAACGGCACAAAAGAGTTGAAAATGGCAAATAAATAAGGATCAAATAAAAGCATATTTGACATTCAATAGTGATCTATACATTTGATCACGGTTGTAAGTTCCAACCATATTAAACAGCTAGTGCACAACATTCAACATTTTACCACTATTGTAGATTCTTACGGTGGTGATATATACATTTGAGTTTATTATAAATTAGGTTGAATTCTTATTTCACTAAACTCTCACTAAACATATAACCTATCAATTTGATTTAGAAAATAATAATATGAAAAATTAGGTTATATTTGAAGAACAACTTACACTTATCAATGTTCTTTTGATCTTTTTGTAATTTATTTTTTAATAGTTAGAATTTAATTCAATAATTTTAATTCTTCAATAAACATTTCCTTCTCTACTAGTTCATTCTGCAAAGTATTAAATTTGTTGAGAAAATCAGATTAATCATCATCAACATTGTTGTGAATTGATGTCGTCAAGAACAAGGCAAAATATGAGAAAAAGATTGAGTCTCTTGAACAAATACAAGAAATCCTATTAGGTTTTACAAAATATAGAGAACAAGGAAGAAGAAGAATAAGAATTGGTTTAAAAAAATTTACTATTCACTTACTCAATAAGGGTTCAAAGATTACAAGTAAATACTAATAATTAACCTCTCTCAACAACCTGAGAGAACTAGTCTATTTATAAACTACTAGGCTAACTTAGGCTACAGGTTAACTTAACAATTGGACTTACAAGCAAGACCCAATTCGATATGCTAACTTAACACAAAGCTAACATATTTTGATAACATGCTTGAACAGAGTTTGACTACATCATGCACAATTCTTGTTGAACCATAAAGTTACCCTTGTTGATACTAGAGTTCGATCCAAATACCACAAACATCATAATTATGATGATGTTGATAATGATAAATCTGAATTTCTCAACAATTTTGATGCTTTGTAGAATGAACTTGTAGAGAAGGAAATGTTTATTAAAGAACTAGAAGCATCAAACTAAATTCTAATTGTTAAAGATCGAGATATAAATAATGGATCGTAGAAAGCTTAAAAAACATTGATTATTGTAAGTTGTTCTTAAAATAGAACTTAATAATTTTAGCTTATTATTTTCTTATTAATTTTTATATGTTATATGTTTAGTGAAGGGTTGAAAAAACACTCAATTGTATAATTTATTACTTATTGTGCTCTCTAGAAAAATTGGGCTGAACGAAATGAGAGTTGCACAAATAATAACATTCTCAACAATAACACAACATAACTAACAACAACCACATTTTACATATCTAAAAAAAACAACATATATAACTCAACAAAAACTTAAACATTAACAAAAATATTTTACTTGTATCAACAAAAACAATAGCATAACTTAACAAAAACAACAACATAACTAAAAAGCAACAACATAACTAAAAAAAAAATACAACATTAAAATAAATTTTTTACTTATCTCAACAACAATAGAAAAATAAAACCTTTAATCTCATTTTAACAACAATATATGTAAACATTTTATTAACTCAACAAAAATAAGAAAATAACTCAAAAAAAAAAATTCAACATATATGATTTAGTGTCTCAACAACAAGAAAAATAACAAATTCTAAAGGACAAATAGTTATAACAATAACAATAAATAACATAACTTATAAAATAAATGGCAGAAAATATTTCACGTACGTACTAGAAATATGAAGGAGAAGACAAAGAAAAGAGTTTTGTGTTTCCGCTTTGCAAAGATTCATGGCACCTTTACTTGATCCATATATATTGGAGAAACTATGTTGTAGTTTTGTGAGATTGTTATAAGGCGTGAAAATTTAGGGATTCATTTGTATTTTTTCTTCTTATAATAACAAATGCCAATGAAATGATAACCAATATGAAATTACAATTAGACAAAGGTCTAATTCAACCCTTCTCTAATACCATATGATGAACAAGTAGTTTGAGCATCTCATCTTCTAATATTTCTGCACATCTTTATTGAATTAAAATGGCTTGTATCTTCTCTTTTGAAAACTTGAAATCATTATCCTCGAAAAAATTCTCAATATCTTTTCTAGAATCTATGATGGTTACTTGTAAATTTAGACTATTTGTCCCATAGGGGGCACCACTTGTTGTGAGATTAAAATTTAAGCACATATGATGTATGAGACAAATAGCAACAACAATCAACTAAATACTTTCAAACAATAATGAATCTAATAACTAAGTGTATGCAAAAAAACAACTAATAAAAACAAGATAAAAGTAGAGAATCAACAAATAAAGTTTTTTAACGAGATTTGATCTAAATTTATCTACTCTATGATGGAGAGGAGCTTTCTGGTCCACTACCAATCAAGAGTCTCAATAAGAGATTACAAATACGTTTTAAAACCTTAACTAAATAAATACATAAAAACACTTTATAATTTGTACTCATTTGTGACCCAATTTCTCCATCTCTTAATACATGAATCACAAAATCCCAAAGTATTACCCTTATATAGCTCCCTAAAATGTTTCAATTCGTAGAGTTAAAAATTCTTATGAATCTCTCATTACCTATTTAAGTTTTTCCCTCTAGGAAACCATTAATACTTAACAAAATGATATGAAATAATTAATTATTTCCTATTTTTAAGCCATGTGCATCGTGTATAGAAGAACAATCATTTACACGCCCTCGTGCATGAGTTACAACTTTAAACAAATCTTTATCTCTTGTACCATTTTTAATGTCATACACAACAAATCAACTAAACTACATTAATAACTTCTTCTTTTTTGTGTGAAATTGACAAGTTT